AATGTAGTGTGCTTAGATCAGTGTCTGGTACACAGCAAGGACTATACAAGTGGTTTTCTGTTCCTACTACTATTATCTTAGTAAATCTTTATAGAAGCTCCTAAGACGTAGGTATTATTACATCTCCATCTGATAGGCAAAGAAAAATAGAGCACTTGAGTAACTTGTTTGAGGTTATATAGCTACTAAGTTGAAGAGTCAAAGCTAGGTTGGCTGGATTCCACAGCCTACACATTTTATTATGTGCAAAGAGTCCTGACTGAAAATTGTTATACTGATGATAAATATTCTTAAATTTTTGTGTCTGTACCTTTTTTGGGGTACTGAAATTCCATACTTAACAATTTACCGCTGCTGCTATTTTCAAATGACTAAATAGTTTTAACCATTAGAATCTCATAATATAATGAACAGCATATTACAGGGTTAAACAGTATATTACAGGGTAATATCATCATTATAGTCATTAAAAGAACTTTCACATATTACTTTTAGCACTTGATTGAATGGAGCACTGTATCAATAATAGTAATTAAAGTCTCACATAAGTGTTTCTTAATGTACAATCACAAAAAAGAATTAGGTAACTTAGATGAATATGGTTCCAAAACAAACCAATACATTCTCAATTTTTTATTCATTGCAATGAAAGCAAGATCACCTGAATGCTTTATAAATAAAGAATCTCACTGTAATCATTTATTGTAACTTGGAATAGCAGCATAGGCCCATGTAGAGGAAAGAAACTTAGGGAAGTGGGGAAGGAGGAGGGAAAAGATTAACTCTGAGGTCTTCAATTCTTGTCAGATGATAACTGTGGCATGTGTTGATTAAAGCCATAGGCTAAGGCCACATTTTTACCTATTTTTGCTTGTGCAAATGCTTTTCTTTCCAGGACGCTCTTCTTACATTATGCCATTAATAGGTGCTTAACTACATCCCACTCATTCCCATCAAGCCCCTAAGCACACACTCATCTGCATGTTAGAAAAGAAAGAGAAAATCTCTCTTAGAAAATCTCTCTTAGACTGATCCTTAAAAATTAACAGATTACTTTTAGCAAACTGGTTCATTTATCAAATTAGCATATTGTCATAATTTAAGAAACACCTAGAAAAACACATACACTGAGTTGTGTTCTACAGAGCCAACAGACCGTACCTGTTAGCACAATGCTGAGAACACTACAAATTTAGGCATGAATGCTGAGAAATATAAAGATACAGGTGGAGACACTGACCAAGTAGTTCCATTGTTCTTTAACATCAATTGGGACTAAAACAACACAACACACGCATACACACACACACACACTCTCTCTCTCTCTCTCTCTCTCTCTCTCACTTTATCCTGCATACAATCTCTGGCATACTACCTTTCACACAGTAGGTATAGTAGGTATAGAATTATTTGCTGAATTGAATATGGGACCACACTTCTTACTTTTCTCAATGAATAAACAAGTCAATATGCTTAAGTGTTAGCAGTAATTCAGGAAAATGAAAAACAAACTGCAGTCATAATCAGACCAGGCAAATAGGCACACAAAATGTAAAGGAGAGTTCATATTCATAGGATCATAGAAAACTTCTGCATATAATGTTACTCCAGGAAAGAGGAGCTTAAATTGTCTATAAATACTAAGCATGTACTGTAAATTTTTGTTAATCTAGCTTTTTATCAAACTGATAATGTTGGCTTACTATCTATATGTATTTTACTGTATAATGACGGATATAATGTAATATACAAATTTAATGTTATATAATGTACAATGTATATATTAACTAATTTTAAATACTCTAAAAATAGGTATCATAATGGTTTTAGAGTGCCCCAAGTACCATGAACATGTGAGATTTTACTAATTCTAATGATTCAATAAATTTTGGGTGAAATTTTAAAATCCTTCTCTAGGTAAAATCTTCATAAACACTTTTTTATTTTCAAAATATATTTTAAAACATAACTCCAGGATTTCCAACTTTCTGGAATCCTCTCTCACACGGTGGGAGCTCCCTCTAGGATTTCCCTTCTGGAATCCCCTCCCACACGGTGGGAGCTCCCGCCGGGATTTCCCCTCTGGAATTTCCTTCCACACTCTTCGTGGAAGCCTTTCTCTTCTCCTTTCCTTCTCTTTTCTCTACCTAAATAAAATCACCTTTCTGCAAAAAAAAACAAAAAACAAAAACCAAAAAACAAAAAAACCCATAACTCCAATAAAAGTCAATTATTCTAAACTTTACTCCTGCAAAAGGGCTGGTGGTTTAGAATATCTTCAGATATACCCTATTAATAGAATGAAAACTGATAGGCAAATGCAGGGAAAGGGTTGTCATTGCTCACAGAATCCTAGTTCTTATCTTCTCCTGTCTCTCATTACATAGAAGTTACTAAGGATTCACAGGATTTGTCTTTGTTACTCTCTCAGTTCTTGTTCTGGCCTCTCTCCTTCCACAGATCCTGTATCTATCTGCCCCCAGTAAGAGTCATCCTCCCAAATTACCTTCCCCTTTTCTTGCCTTATCTAAACTCCCATCCACTCAATGAGCTAATTTTAGTCAGTGTACAACTCACAGACAGATGAAACAGTGAAAAAGCAAAGTTCTCAGGAGATTAAATTAAATTCAGTCCCAAGAAAAGATGATTCCTTTGTGTGTTGAAGAAAATATTTGGATTAAAATAATTCACACTAAATTACATATAACTAATATTTCCTTCATAAGTAAAGTCTGCATTTATAAAAGGATGCATTTTAATTCATAGAAACTGTTTCTTATTGGAAGATAGGTAGTATGACAAAATCTAAGGAAAGTATAAAGACAAAATCAAAAATACAAATGCGGAAAGCACTGAGTCAAAAAATAGAGAAGCCATGTAATTGATATATCAGTCGAAAAGCCCAAACTTTAAAGAATCAAAAAGAAAAAAAAAAGATAAATCACCACTCCACTTAATCCTAGAAAAAAACTAAGCAGCATGAAGGTTCAATATCAAAATGCAAATGGAGTTAAATTAACTACAACTATGAAGAAATTTAGGAAACTTGCATTATAAATATTTTGTACAAACCTAAAAAAATAAATTTGAAAACCTAGATGAAAGCCTTTCTAGGAAAATGTAAATGATCATCACTGTATTATAGAATCTGGAAAATTATTTACGAGACATAGGCAGGCACATCATAGAAAAATTTAGGAAGATACTAGTTAACTACCCCAAACTGCCAGATAATTTCTCAGGTAAATTTCTTCTTATCTTTAAAGGACTGTTAATTTTGTAACTTTTTAAGGAGAGAGGAAAATGAAAAGTCTAAATTCTAGGAAGTCAACAACATGGTTAACTAAAATCTGAGAAAGGATACACATGCATGTGCGCACACATGCAGGCATGCACACACACACACACACGAACACACACATATACTCACACACACACGCTCAGTCCTAAATAAAATATGCAACAGACCTAAATAAAATATTAAAAGAATGAAGCAAAAATTACTTAACATTAGAAAATACATGAGCATTTACTACTATATTAACATTAAAAAGGAGAAACGATTACATCTATAGATGCAGAAAGGCATTTGAAAAAAAAATCACCATTCCCTTACTGACACTTTTGCATGAAAGCAAAACTGAAGTTAGTATCATAATAAATTATTATGAATCAGAGGCATTTATAAGATAAAGATGCTTAGTTTCATTATTAGTTAACAAAGTTTTAAAAGCATAAACCAATTTTTAAAAAGAATAAAAGAAAAAGTATAAATATTACAAAGGAGAAGCAAAATTATTTGCAGAATAACATTTCTAGAAAAATTCATGAAAAATCAATGAAAAAACTATTAGTAGTAAGAAAATTTGGTAAATGGTTAATTACAAATTTAAAAGAAAAAAAACAACTTTCCAACCAAAAAACATCAAAAGTTTTCCAATATATCAACAACAACCAGCTAAAACACAAAAGAGGAAAAATTCTATTAATAGCAACACAAATGAAACACATGAAGGAAAAAGCTTAAAATAAAACAGAGGATCTACATGAAGAAAACTAGCATTCTGTGTAAAAGTCATTAAAGATTTGAATAAATGAAAAGCTGTATCTTGGCTTTGGATAGAATGATATGTATCATAAATATGCCAATTCTACCTAAATTTTCTGTAAATTCAATGCAATTTTGATCCAAATGCTACACATGGTATCTTGTATTCTAAATCTAAATGGCTTAGATCAATAACTCTACAGTATATATAGAGAAGTAGAAGCATAGTCTCTGGAACCTGACTGCCTGGCTCAAATCACAGCTTCACTGGTTACCAGCCTTGTCACCTTGGGCATGTTATATATTCTTCTAATGTCTCAGTTTCCTCATTGCCAAGATTGAAATAACAGTAATATATCCCTGACATGGTTGTCACAATGATGAAAATAAGTATATATGTGCAACACTTAGTAATACTGCACATATATGCTTGACACATACTGGTGGTATTCTTATCTGGGAAAATAAACACATTAAAAGATTCAGGAACATTTGGAAAAATAATAGTAATGGTGGTAGTACGAAAACATGAACTAGACATACCAGAGAGTAAACTTTATCTTGAGACTACAGAAATGAAAACAGATTTGTACTATTACAAGGATGGGCAGACAATGGATTTGAACATAATCCAAAAGAGATCCCAAACAAATAGTAGTCTTGCAAATTAGTGGGGGTAAAGGCATTATTTAATAAAAATCATTTGGAAAAAAAAATTAGATCCCCACCCCATGACTTTCACCAAAATGAAACCCACATGAATCAAAGACTTTAACTTAGGAAAAAACTGAAACCATAAATGTATTAGAAGAAAATATAGGCAAATCCTTTCACAATCCTGGAATAAGGAAGGCTGTTATGAGCATGACATGAATCCTGTAACTATACACAGAAAAAAATCAAGTCAAAAGACAAATGAAAAATTTTGAAAAATATATGCAACACATATGACTAAAGGCTGACATCTTTATTATATAGAGAATTCCTAAACACTCATAAGGAAAAGATGAACCACCCAATAAGAATATGCACAGGTAATTCACACACACACAAAAATAAATGGCCAATAAACATGTAAAAAGATGCTTAACCTCAGTAACAGAAGAAATAACCATTTTAATCCTATATTTTTATAATCATTTCTCACATACACCCTCAACTTTCTTGCTCTCTCTGGCTTCAAAATCTCTATTCTGGCTAACATGTTACCTTGATTAAGCCACCATTCCTAACTCTATACTTTAGTCCCTCTATACTTTAAAGCTTTTTGAAAAAGTTGTCTACATGTGTGTCTGATTTGTTTCTTCCTATTTTTTCTTAAATTATTCCAATTACAACACTCCATCAAAACGGTTCTTGTCATGACTGTGAGCACTGCTAAATCCAATGACAATTATCAGTCCTCATTTGACTTGATGATCTTCTAGCAGCATTTGACATAATCCATTACTCCCTCCTTTTCAAAACAATCTCTTCTCTTGACTCTTATCAGTTTTCCTCTTAACTCACCAACTGCTTTTCTGTGTCTTTCTTCTACTCTTCCTTAATCTGTCTCATGACTCTAAATACCATTTGTTGACTCCCAGTTTTTTTTTATCCCAGCCCAATTTCTTCTATGAATCTCACACTTATATACCAAATTTTCTACTTGATATCTCGTCTTCAATTTCTTTTTTTTTTTTATACTTCCCAGAAACCTTGCAGTTAGTGCAACCAACAAAAGGCCTGCTGGGAAATGTATTTGCCACTAAATTCCCCAAGTATGCCAACATTACAAAAAAGATAGAGGTTTTTCATCATAAATTTCCATAAACCTCCCCAATCACAAGTATTATAAGACGAAGTAAAAATCACATTTTACAGATCTCAAACTTGTCTTCAACATTTAGTTCATCATCTTCAAAAAATAGCTCCCCTGCTAACCTCATTAGCTATATGATATATCCAAGCAGCAAGAAGATGGCCATGCCATGGCAATCCTCTTCCCATTTTCCTGACCACTCAGGGCTGAACAGTAGGGTAGGGGTGGGGAGCACAAGGGCTACTTTCCCCCAGTACAACATGGCTTCTGAAGCTTGATGGGAGAGCGGAACTGGTGAGACATGAGGGAAGAGTCCAGGGCCTGTATTCAGTCAGTCACTGCTGGAAGAGGAGGAGGAAGAGGAGAAGGAATGCTTGCCATGCTTGTGGTGCTTGTACCTCTTTTTATGAGCTTTATTCATTTTCTTCTGCATCTTCTTGTCCACTATCACTGCTGCTCCGACCATGTCAGGAGCCAAGGGATTCACAGGAGGCATTCCAGGGGCAGGCAGTGGGTATGGAACAGGGTAGGGACCTGAGGGTTGGCATCCTGGATACTCTGGCTGTGGCACAGGAGGAAAGGGCCCACCTAGGGGGAAAGCTGGATTGCACTGGGGAACTCCTGGGGGAGGAGGAAAGGGTGGATTGACAGGTGGTAGGTGGGCAGGACTGGAACCTCCAGGGTACCCGATGTTGGGGGGATATGGATTTGGCTCTGGCTGCCCGACACTGGGGTTCCACATGTTTAGGTGTGTTCTCCAGCCCCAAGCTGCGAAGGGACTCTATACCCAGTAACAGGAAAAGGAAAAACTTAGGGAATCCAGATACTCTGTCATCTTTCCACCACCGCCTGGGCTTGATGCATTCTCCTTCCATGTCTCCATCCTCTTGGATTTCTAATGGGAAAATTTTTACCATATCCAAATCCGATTCCTGGTCTCTCAGTCTTCTCTATTTCAGTAAATGGCAATTCCATTCCTCCAGTTGTTCAGGCCAAAAGTCTCAGTGACAGTTTTGACTCCTTTTTTTTCTCTCAAATCCCACGCATCTAATCTGGAAGGAAATGCCTTTAAAAATATATTCAAGATCTGACCACTCACTACCAATTCCCTGATACCAACTACCTAGTGGTACCATCATCTCTCACTTAGAATATTGTCACTGGCTCCTATCTGGTCTCCCTGCTGCCACCTTTGTCTTCTTGTAGTGAGTTTTCAACACAGCAAAGGAAACCTTCTAAAACATTAATAGAATCTTGTCAAACCATCTAATGGCTTCCCATCCTGTTCACTGTAATCCAAGGCCCTTCATGGGCTGACTCTCCTCACCTGTCATCTCTCAGATTTTTGTCTTCTACTTTACCCTTGGCCCACTGCATTCCAGGTACACTAGCCTCTTGCTTCCAGGCTTTTGTGCTTCATATCATTCTACTGGAATATTCTTTATGCACTGCCCAAGTTTATTTCCTCAGGGAGGTCTTCTATGACAGCCCTATTTAAACACCACCACCATCCCCACTGCGGACCCTACTCTCAATTTATTTCTTTTAAAAATAGTTATCACCAATTGCCATAATATTTTCTTCACTGATTGTCTACTCCATTACAGTGTAAGTTTCATTTGGGCAGGAATTTTTTCTATTTTGATCACCGCTGTTCCCTTGCATCTAGAACACTGGTAATCCCTAAATAAATGCTTAGTAAATTGGCAGAAAAGGCCCCAATAGCACCTAGCATATGCAAGGTTTAAATAAAAGGGAACATTCTTATATGCTGTGCTAATTTGGCAATATTTATCAAAATTTAAAATGTTTACCTGTTGATGTAACAATTTCTTAGCACCCTACAAATTAACACAGGTATGCAAATATGAATATGTGTTTTTTTTTTTTTTTTTTTTTGAGACGGAGTTTCGCTCTTGTTACCCAGGCTGGAGTGCAATGGCGCGATCTCGGCTCACCACAACCTCCGCCTCCTGGGTTCAGGCAATTCTCCTGCCTCAGCCTCCCGAGTAGCTGGGACTACAGGCACGCGCCACCATGCCCAGCTAATTTTTGTATTTTTAGTAGAGACGGGGTTTCACCATGTTGACCAGGATGGTCTCCAGCTCTTGACCTCGTGATCCACCCGCCGCGGCCTCCCAAAGTGCTGGGATTACAGGTGTGAGCCACCGCGCCCAGCCTGTTTATTTGAAAACTTGTTTTTAACTATTTTAAAAAAACTTTAATAGTCATCTAAGACATATTGCTTGGTACTGATATACAGAGTTTCCCAAAATACATTCTTGCAGAAAATACAGTAAATGCAGTATAGTATCCATATATACATGTACCTTAACATCAATTCACAATGTCTAGAAGGATATACAAATGAGGAAATGAGGTACTAAAAGAGTGACTTGTTTTTTTGCCTTATTCCTTTTACAATATTTGAATGTTTATATTGCTTAAGAAAATTTAAAGATATATTTTAAATGTGCAAAGAAAAAGTCACATGATTTTCAGCATACTGTTGCTAGTGGCAAACTTTAGAAAACTGAACTGAGATTGGGCAAAATATTTGCTGGCTCTCCATGTATGTATGTATGTACATATGTATATGTATGTATTTCTATGTATGTATATATGTATATGTATACTTTAGACATGGGGTTTCACTGTCACTCAGTCTGGAGTGTGGTGGCATGATCATAGCTCACTGCAGCTGTGTGCGTACTGCCAGGTTCAAGTGATCCTCCTGCCTCAGCCTCTCAAGCATCTGGGACTAAAGGCCTGTGCCACCACATCCAGGTAATTTAAAGAACTCTTTTTGAAATAGAGACAAGGTCTTGCTGTTGCCTATAGTGGTCTTGCGCTCCTGGCCCCAAGCAATCCTCCGGCCTGGCCTCCCAAAGTGTTAGGATTACTGACTGGTATGTGCCACTGCACCCAGCTCTCTTGCTCAACATTTTTATTATTTAAATTCGGTATCACAGTGAATAGGAGGTATAATTAAAAACAGTAATCAGGGTACTGAAATACAATTTAAAGAATAATGAAAGGTAAAAAGGACATTTATTAGTTGATGAATACTATGCTACAAATAAACATCATGCATTTTGAAACGGAAATGATTATTTTATGGTTTTATGAAACAATAATAAGATCTGTTTTCTTCTTTTGAAAGACAGCAGTCTATTTTGAAGTATGAAAAACATTTACCTTTCCTATTTATGGCTACATAACATTATATAAAAGGAAAAGGAAGGTAATACTTGCCGAACACGAGGACAAGTGACTTCTCCTTTCAGCTCGTGCTGAGGGAAGCTGCCCTCATACTACACGATGCCAGGAGGAAGCCCTTGTGGAGAGTATACACTTTTACTTGTCAAGGACAATGGGCACCCCCAAAGTACAGGTTATAGTATCTCACATATACCCACACATACAGCCAAACATTTAAATAGTTTCAACCACAGGAGTTGGCATGATTCTGTTTTTCTCATTTTCTGAAAAAATTTTAAGAAATATTTTGTCATTTACTCATCCCAGGAGGTAATTTTGCTTTGATTGGATTTGAGACTCATTGATTAGTAGAACTGGTTGTGAAAATAAGATGAAGAAAGATTCCTTTAAACTAGTAATGCTGTATATGTAATTTAAAACTCCTGACCATGGGAAGGGAAATCATAGGAAAAGTGAAGAGAAAAAGATCATGAACCCCAAGGATGTAGTTTGAGGATAGATTCTCCCTTACCTTCAGGGGAGTGAAAACATACAGTAATCTAAGTAAGGCTTATTGGTCCCCAGCTTGGAGACTTCCTCTCTGGAAGCTTTCCTGAGAGTCAAATTTCAACATGGGGTACTAATCCCTGAGTCTAGTCTTGTAAAGAAAAATCTTTCTACTCCTACATTGGAAAAACATGGAAGAGCAAGGGGCATAATTAATGAAATTTTAATTGGAATTTATTTCCTAATGAAGTATTAAAAACAAACAATTTATAGGTAACTAGAGTTTAGTTTTACTGAGCTCTTCTAAGCATTATAATATGTTACAAGATTGTGAGTTGTCAAATTAGAATGAATAATTTAGTTTCTCTGACTTAAGTGCTTCAGAAGACAGGAAAATTAAGACATTTAATATCTATAGTCTCCACCTCGGAGATATGTCATCTTTAAAAATATGAGTAACATACATGAATTATATAGAGAAATGCCACAGTACATAATTAAATGCTTAATTATAAATGATATAGAAAATAAATACTGTAAGAGTCCTTACCTAATTATGTTAATCTCTCTTTTATACCTTGCTAATGTGCCACAGAGGTCAAATTGAGTATTTTGTTTCTTTTTTATTTGAAATATACTGGAAATCAAATATATGTCATTTGGAAATGTGAAATTTTTGAGAGGTTAAATGAAATATTTGGAAAGTTTGAAAGTTAAATAAATTTTAACTGTCGCACCAAAAAATTCCTCATGTTTTGTTTTACCTTAGTTACCTGAGTAGCAGTGTGAATTATAATCCTCTATGGACATAACTTATTCCAGAAAATAAATAATATCCAATAAACCAGAAGACCATGCAAAGTAACTACTCATTTTCTTATATAAATTTTTTTCTTGGAGAGCAAGTGGGCTCTGTGATGAAAGAAGTGGACATTCTTGGAAAAACACATATAAATAGCAAATTTAACACCAGATATGAAAAGGAACTGGGAAATGGGCATTTTAAAAGTACTTTAAAGAAATTATAACCTATCACATTTCTATTACTTATCGATAGAAAAGCTTACAACCAATGCTCCTCGTTTACTTCTGCACCCTGTTCCAAACCCTGACCCAGAAAGTGCTTATCACATATTCAGTGCTTTACATGCACTGAATCAGTTAATCCTTACAGGAGCCACTTCAAGTAAGAGTTATTATTATATTTATTTTATAGCAATGAAACCGAGACTTAGAGAGGTTATATAACTTGCCAAAGGTTGACCAGTTGGTACCGGTAGCCAGGATGGTATCCTAGGCCATGGGGCACTGGAGTCCATGCTCTGAACAGGTTACTGTACTGTCTCTCCAAAGACAGCAGGAGAGTAGAACCCATAAATGAAAAGAAAATCCTTACAAAAAAACAAAAATGAAACTGAATAAAAGTGAGGTTCCCAATGAATTATTAAAGACTTCACTGACAAGTACTTAATCAAATCTTTCTGAACGTCTCAGAATCTGAGATAATAAAATTGAAAGTACCCTTATTATTCTCCTTTACTTCAGAATGAAAATGGAAGACATACATAATAACCACAAAACCTCAGGTCAGATATTGTTTTGTTCTCTAAATTCAAAATTTCTGATGGCTCTCCAATTGCTTATGCCATAAATTCCAAACTCTCATCCACGGCAAATAAGGGTCTCCTAACTGCATACCTAATGGCTTACACGATCTCTTCATCTTCACTTGCTACTTTTCTGCAAAGTACATTCCATTTCCCAGACATCCCTGAACTTTCATCCTTCTGCTATGAATTCTTCTTCTCTAGGACCAAATTCCTACTCATCTTTTGGAACTCATATCCTGTCCATCATCAACAATCCTCTCCAGGAATCAATGCCACTAGTTTGTTTCCTCCTCTGGACTACAATACCCATCTCATTGGTCCCTTGTCTCTATTTACCACATAACAGCCAGGGTGATCTTTCAAAAACATAAAGCAAAATGTATCACTCTGCTTCTTAAAACCTTCCAATGGCTCTCTATTGTTCCATCATTCCTGCAAGGCTCCACATTTCTGGGCCTGCACCTTTTCCACTATTCTATTCATTCTCACTAAATGACCTGTTTGTTCTTTGTAAAAGGCAAGCCTTCTCTACCCCATGCCCTTGCACTTGCCTTTCCCTCTGCCTAGGATGCTCTGTTTCCAACTCCACAAGGCTGGCTCTTTCTTTTCCACTCCAGTGTCATAGTTCCAAAGAAGACTTCCATGACCATCTAAACTAACATGCTCTATCCTTTACTCTTTCACATCATCCTATTTATTTCCTTCAAGGCATCCATAACAGTCTGTATCTTGTT